ATATCAGTGCCTTTAATATTAGTCAGACTTGAGCATCAGTTTAGAAAACTCATCATTATTATTTTGTTTCTCTAGAACCCCATTCACTCGGTACCACATATCACAGGTTGGGTTTTCTAAAGAGAAGTTTATTATCTTATCATTGTCAAATCCCAGGTCCTCAGCAGAAGAGAGAAAGTCCCTCCCATGTGTCCATTGGGAGCAGGCCACACACCCAAGGAGGCATCCCTTTCATTGTTGGCTGCTCATAGTCACTCATCATAATGCTGACTATACCTGTATTCGGTTTTATCACCATAGGAATAAGCACATCTCAACTGCTAAACCTATGGAAATCCTGGCCTACCCAAGTTGACACAGAAGTCTAACCATTACAATAAGTAAACATCTTTCTGGTATTCTCTGCTTTCAGCCAAGATCCATCTGATGTCATAATGGTAATCTTGTTCGATGTCCTTTTCTTAATCCAGCTTTAACATCTGGCAGTTCCTTGTCAATGTATTTTGTAGCCATTTTTAAACTAATATTCTGTTGGGTCACCACTCTTTGAAATGGGCACAAATATGAATGTCTTCCAGTCAGTTGGCCAGATAGCTGTATTCCAAATTTCTTGGCATAGATGAGTGAGTACCTCCACTACTGCATCAGTTTGTTGAAAGATTTCAATTTGTATTCCATTAATTCCCGGAACCTGTTCTTTGTCAATGCCTTCAGTACACCTTGGGACTTCTTGCTTCACTACGATCGGCTCTTGATCATATGCTACCTCTTGAAATGGTTGAACATTGACCAGTTCTTTTTGGTACAGTGACTCTATGTATTTCATCTTCTGATACTTCCAGCATCATTCAATATTTTGCCCATAGAATCATTTACTATTTCAAGTCAAGACTTGAATTTTTCTTCAGTTCTTTCAGTTTGAGAAATTCTGAGCATGTTCTTCCCTTTTGGTTTTCCAAGTCTTTACACATTTCATTGTAATAGTTGACTTTGTCTTCTCAAGCTGCCCTTTGAAATTTTCTATTCAATTTTTTTTTTTGCCTCCTCATTTCTTCCATTTGCTTTCACCACCTCTATGCTGGAGAGCAAATTTCAAAGTCTTTTCTGACATCCATTTTGGTCTTTTCTTTCTTTCTTGTCTTCTTAATGACCTTTTGCTTTCTTCCTGTAGGATGGCAAGACTTCATCTTTCATACTTCAGACATATTTTCAGGAGTGACCTGTTATTGGAGAAGGACATCATGCTTGGTAAAGTAGAGGGCCAGCGAAAAAAGGAAGACGTCTAACGCGATGGATTGGCACAGTGACAGCAGCAATGGACTGAAGCATTACAGTGATTGTGAGAATAGCACAGGACAGAGCAGTGTTTTGTTCTGTTGTGCACAGTGTCGCTTTGAGTCGGAACCGACTCGGTGGTACCTAATGATAACAACAAAACTATATTTGGTCATGGGTATATTTCTGTCTGCCATCACACATACTTAGTCAGCTTACATATCTACTCATATATGTACTAATCTTTGGTAATTAGTGTCTAATGCATCAAATCTGTTCTTGAGATGATCTCTAAATTCAGGTGGGATATATTCAAGATCCCAATTTGGTTCTCGTGGACTTGTTCTAATTTTCTTCAGCTTCAGCTTGAACTTGCATATGAGCAGTTGATGGTCTGTTCCACAGTCTGCCCCTGGCCTTGTTTTGGCTGATGATATGGAGCTCTCCCACCATCTCTTCCCACATATGCAGTCAATTTGATTTCTGTGTATTCCATCTGGTAAAGCCCATTTGTATAGTCATCTTTTATGTTGTTTAAAAAAGGTATTTGCAATGAAGAAGTCAGTAGTCTTGCAAAATTCTATCATGTGATCTCCAGCATCATTTCTATCACTATTGATATTTTCCAACTACTGATCTTTCCTCTGTGTTTCCAACCTTTGTATTCCAAATACCAGTAATTATCAGTACATCTTGATTGCATGTTTGATCAATTTCACACTGAAAAAGTTATCAGAATTCTTCAATTTCATCGTCACTGCCTTAAGTGGTTGTTGCATAAATTTGAATAATAGTAGTATTAACTGGTCTTCCTTGTAGGAATATGGATATTATCCTATTACAGACAGCATTACATTTCAAGACACAACTTGAAATGTTCTTTTTGATGATGAATGTGAGACATTACTCTTCAATTTGTCATTTCCAGCATAGTTAAGTCATATGATCATCAGATTTAAAATGGCCAATACCAGTCATTTCAGCTCACTAATGCCTAGGTTATTAATACTTATGCCTTACATCTTATTTTTGACTACTTCCAGTTCCCATAGATTCATATTTCAAATTATCTTCATATTCCTATGTCAACATTTCAAGTTCTATTATGTTTCATGTTCCAATTATTTGAGTTGTGTCCCATCAGCAAATGAAGGCCCTGAAAACTTTACTCCATCCATGGCGTAATTTCAACTCTACTTTGAGAAAGCAGTTCTTCCCCAGTCATACTGTGAGTGCTTTCCAACCTGAAGGGCTCATTTTCCGGCACTACATCAGACTTTGATTCACTGCAGTTCTTAAGGTTTTAAGTGACTGTCCACCTCTCCTTCCTAGTCTGTGTTAGTCTGGAAGCGCTACCGAAACTTGTCCACCATGACCTACCCTGGTGTATTTGAAACACTGATGACGTGCACAGCTTCCAACTTCACAGCAACATGTAAGCCACCACAGCCCAACAAACTGGCAGATAAGTGGTGGAAAGTAAGAGTAGCAGACAACAAATCTCCCTGGGGTAACTGTTAGCTGAATTTCTCTGCAGCCACATTTTACTTCTTGAAAAATTCCAAAGTATTTCCTCATCTGCCCCACTCTCTGAATGGCTCTGTTCTTAGTGACTTCCTTTCCTCCTCCAGGACCTTTAGTCACCTCGTGAGTGCACCAGCTGAGCAGGTCACACCAGGCATGTTGAGTGTAAACCCAGCTCACCCACTTCCAAGTTGAGCAGCCTGAGGTTACACTAGCTCTGTGCCATGATTTTCTTATCTGTAAAATGGGAATAATAATGTTGCCTACGTCATAAGGTAAGGAAAATATTTAAAATTCTGCGTGTACCTAGGAAATACTCTGAAAGAGCTAGTTATTATTATTGTAGTTAATGCACAGAGTTGTGTCTTAAGGCTATGCCCATAGAGGAGGGTAGATGCAGTCTAGGCAAGCAGTTCAGTCTTGTAATCATACTTGTTGTTGTTGTTGTTATGTGCCATCGAGTCGGTTCCGACACATAGCGACCCTGTATAGGGTTTCCGAGGGTGTAAATCTTTTCGGAAGTAGAAAGCCTCATCTTTCTCCCGCGGTGCAGCTGGTAGTTTCGAACTGCTGACCTTAAGGTTCACAGCCCGATTTGTAACCACTACGCTACAAGATACTAGTGGGTATAAAATACTAGCCAGTTTTGCATGTTGTGCTGTAGGAGTTGGAACCAACTTGACAGCATTTAACAAAAACAACTAAAACTGTTGAGTCTTTCTGTGTATTGTTGTTGTTGTTGTTGTTAAGTGCCGTCGAGTCGGTTCCGACCCATAGGTATTATTGGCCAAGAAATCTTAATTGAAGAACTGACTATTCTAGTTGGTTACTCATTTGTTTGTCTTTTTGTTGTCAAGTTGTAGCAGTTCTTTATTTATTCTGGAAGACTTTAAAAAAAAAAAAAAAATCTAACCCATAGTAAGTCCAGTGAGGGGTGTCTTCAGGGCTGGTCAACTCAGCAGCTAAAAGATGTCAGGGTTCTTATTCAATTACTCTACAATTCTTTTAGCTATCTCCTCATGGCCACAAGATGGCTGCTACAGCTCCAAACATCACATATTCCAAAGACAGGGGCATTTCCTTTCCAGGGTCTCTTTTTATGAAATGACATTATATTCTGGAGGACCCTCAGAAGATCTCATCTTGAATTTCATTGGCTAAAATTGGGCTACAGTCCCCTTCCCTAGCTGTAAGGGAGGCTGAAATCATGAGTATCTGGCACTTTCCACTGGGTTATCTAAGGCTGATTCTGAAGGGACTACGAGTGACTAGGCATTAGGTAGGTAGCCAATAGGGTTAATCCCTGGGTCTTCTTTGAGTGCCTCCTAGATAGTGCAAAGTAGAGTGGAAAAGGATAAATCCACCCCCACACTCTCCTGCCAGGAGCTGACCAAGGCCCTGCCTCCTTCTCAGCACCTATGTCTCTTCCCCTGCCCACAGGTCAGAAGTCACCCAGCTCCCAGTCTCACCACAAGCCAGCCCAGAGCTAGAAACTAACAACGGTGAACCTGAAGACAGTGTGGCCAGAGACCCAGGCCCCCTTCCTGAGGGAGCAGCCTGGCAGTCAGACAGTAGCTCTGGAAGCAGACACCTGGATGAAGGTTGGTCCCTCACACCAAAGCTTTCTCCCAGGCTCACAGTGAAGTAGCTGTAGCCCTACCTTGTCCCTGGGGTTTGTCTGCCCCAATGCTACCATCAGCTTCAGAATCTCCTCGCCTATCTGCTCAGGCTGCATTGAGTCCGTATTTGCCCCTTTCTGAGAGGAGGGATTGGTTGGCTGCTCAGGGAGCTGGGGTGGAGTAAGCTCCCCGCCATCAGAGGGGTGTAAGAGGGGCTAGATGATCACCCCGCAAGAAGACCACAGAGAGAACCATAATGTTAAGATCTGGGGCCAGACCATGCTGGTGCATATGAAGCCGTCAGAATGCTGGGTAAAAGTGGCTCTCTCAAGGGCTAGAAAAACTGGCTGAGGTGGTGTCTGTTTTCACTAGCTCGGCATGGGCAGTTGTAGAGATGCTGCCAGACCTCCATCACTCCCATCCATCTTCAGAGCCCCTCACCTGTCCCGTCCCAGGCATCAAGGCGGAAATGACACCACACACACATATACACACATGCTCACACATGCGCACACACAGGCACAGCGTCAGAAAGTTCACTGAAGAAAAAAAAAACAAATCGTCATTGGAAACACATTCACACCATCAAAAAGTCATGACATGGCTCCTCCCCATTTGACAGGCAGCCACAGCTTCTCTTGCAGTACCAGCCGCATCCCTGAGACAGGAGTCAATGGATTTGGCCGTTTTGGGTGCTGGTAACCAGGGCTGCTGTTAACTCTGGCAAAGTGGAGTTCGTTACCAACAATGACCCCTTTATTGAGCTCAGCTACGTGGTCTACATGCTCCATTATGATTTCACCCAGTATGATTTCATGGCAAGTTCAATGACACTGTCAAGGCTGAGAACGGGAAGCTTATCATCAATGGGAAGCCCATCTCTATCTTCCAGGAGCGAGATCCCACCAACATCAAGTGGGTGATGCTGGTGCTGAATATGTTGTAGAGCCCACCAGTGTCTTCACAACCTTGGAGAAGGCTGGGGCTCACTCGAAGGGTGGTGCCAAAAGGGTAATCATCTCTGCCCCTTCTGCTGATGCCCCCATGTTTATGATGGGCATAAATCACGAGAAGTATGACAACTCCCTCAAGATTGTCAGCAATGCCTCCGGCACCACCAACTATTTGGCCCCCCTGGCTAAGGTCAACTTTGGCATTGTGGAGGGACTCATGACCACAGTCCATGCCATCATTGCCACCCAGAACACTGTGGATGGCCCCTCTGGGAAACTGTGGCATGATGGCCGTGGGGCTGCCCAGAACATCATCCCTGCATCTACTGGTGCTGCCAAGGCTGTGGGCAAGGTCATCCTGGAACTGAATGGGAAACTCATTGGTATGGCCTTCCATGTCCCCACTCCCAACATATCTGTCATGAACCTGACCTGCCACCTGGAGAAAGCTGCCAAAAACGGTGACATCAAGAAGGTGATAAAGCAGGCATCAGATGGACCCCTAAAAGGCATCCTGGGTTACAATGAAGACCAGGTGACTTTAACAGTGACACCCACTCTTCCGCCTTTGATGCTGGGGCTGGCATTGCCCTCAAGGACCACTCTGTCAAGGTCATTTCCTGGTATGACAATGAATTTGGCTACAGCAACAGGGTGGTAGATCTTATGGTCCACATGGCCTCCAAAGAATAACAGTCCCCTGGACCACCAGCCCCAGCAACAGCACTAGAGGAAGAGAGAGGCCCTCAGCTGCTGGAAGTCCTTACCCCAACTCTACCCCGTACACAGTGAGAAGCTCCCATCCTCACAGGTTCCATCCAGACCCCCTGGAGAAGGGGAGGGGCTTAGATAACCCAGTCTTGTCATGTACCATCAATAAAGTACACAATCCAGCCAAAAAAAAAGTCATGACATGCTTACTTCAATTCTGGTTCTGTTTGCTCTTGGATAGTTTTTATCAAGACAAGACAGAAGCCCATGAATACCCTCTGTGGCTTCCAGACCTGCAGGCAGCTAGAGTCACCTGGAAGCCTTTTGAAAATACACAATTCCAGGTCCAACCAGCTCTACTGCACATAATTCTCTGGGGTGGGAGCTCATAAATTTGTCATGTGGTCTAAACGGCCGCATCAATTAAATCTATGAGTGGTAGGTCATTCAAACTAAACTGTCTTAAGCTAGCAGAGAATTTATTGGTTCACATAACTAAAAAGCCCAAATTGGTTTCAAGTACAGCAGAAATGCCAGCAGATAATCTCTCGAAACACCTCCTTGCTTTGCACATAGTCACTTTCCAGAAGGTTCTACCCTTGGAGGGTCTAGATGGCCATATACCCCAACACCCAGGCCAGTATGAATCTTTCTTTCTTTCCTGAAAACTTGAATCCAAATTTGGCCTGACTCTTGATGATTCAGATTGGACCCCCTGCCCTTCCTTGAACCAGTCACTGTGGCAGAGTATTCTGACTCCCATGTCCCACAGAGAATGGGAGGGGCCCCAGGGAGAATCCAGGTGACTACAGCAGACCCCAAGGTTCTCTGAAGCTCAGTCAGGGTGGCACCCACTGCCCAAGACGCAGCAGTGTTGGAAACCACAGAGGGTTACATTCATGACTCCCCTTCCTTCACACACCCCCAAATATTAGATCTATTCAGTTCCCTGTTGCTCTTAAGGGTCATTGACTTGGTTCTGACTTATAGCAACCCTATATAAGGTTTCTAAGGAGCAGCGAGTGAGTTTGAGCCATCAACCTTGTGATGAGCAGTCCAGCGCTTATTCATTTGACTAGTGCTCCACACTCTGACCCCAATTTCTAGGAGACAGCCTGGCCTTTTCTGGCTGGGACTGCCATGTCCTTAAGTGGAAATAGTGTTCACCTCTGAGACCAAAACAGGTACTAGCCGCTAGACTCTCTCTCCTAGTGGTCTTGTGCATAGTTCCAAGGAGGGGGTGGTGGGCTTAGGCAGTCACACAGTGGGCGGTACCATCTTTGGAAACTCCTGGGTGCTGTGGGGAATGGGATGGGAAGGGACACCTGGAAGAGATGCAAGAGGACGCCAGAGCTTCCCTGACTACCCAGAATCCCTATGGGCTAGAGCAGAGGGAGGGGTGAGGTCAAGTAGGTCCTCTGAGGGGCCTGGCTGGCTTCCCACCCTTGACCCAGCACTTGGCTTTGCTTCTGTGCCTGTGTTTCTCCAGCAGAGGATGAGCAGCTCTTCCGCTCTGTGGAAGGCCAGGCTGCCTCGGATGAGGAGGATGACCACGAGGAGAAGTGGCGGGAGGAGCAGAGCCCCCCACTGGCTGAAGTCATGAAGCTGCTAGCAGGCCTCTTAAACTGCAGGAGTGGGTATGTGTGCTGCAGGTGTCCAAGACCTGCCTGTGGCAGGCCACTGCTTGTCCAGTGCTCAGACGGGAGACGGGCAGTGCCGCTCTGTACCCTCATCCACTAGGTGGAGCACTGTGTGGGGAATTCAGTGACCTGGGGTAGGAGGACATACCTCAGGGGTGGCTGTGATGACTGTCCTAAGAATCAGGCTGGGAACCTCAAGGTCGGCAATTTGAAACTACCAGCGGTTCCGCAGGAGAAAGATAAGGCGTTCTGCTCCCGTAAAGATTTACAGCCTCGGAAACCCTGTACAGGGTCGCTATGGGTCGGAATCGACTCGACAGCACTTAACAACAACAACAAGACAAGCCTCAAAGCTCCAGTGCCCCTCCCACCCTGCCCTAATCCAGTTTCTTGCAACATAACACTGCTTCCATTCCCTCTGGCCTTACCTCTTAACTTGTTTGAACCTCATACCACCTTAGCTGAGGATGCCTAGGGCAGTTAGATCACTGAGTCACCTTCTCTTTGGCCCTGACATGGGATAGTAGTAGCGCCTCTCTGGCAGAGCTTTTGTGAGGATTTGAAATCAAGGATATAAAGTGTTTAACAGGTGCCAGACACAAAGTAGATAGGCCATTAGAGGTAGCTGTGTATTTTATTATACTGTAAACTGCTGTGGGTTTTCTGGGGTTGTTGTTGTTGTTAAGTGTGATGAAGTCAGTTCCGACTCATAGCAACTCTTTATAGGGCTTCTGAGGAGCAGCTGATGGGTTTGAACTGCTGATCTCGTGGTGTCCAGTGCTGACCCTACAAACCCACACCAGGAGTCCTTTGTGGGGTTGTTGTTGTTAAGTCTTGAGTCAGTTCCAACTCTTAACAACTCTGTATAGGGATTCCGAGGAGTGGCTGGTGAGTTTGAACTGTGGACCTTGTGGTTCAAACCAACTTTGCAGTCCAGCACATTAACCCACAGCACACACCAGGACTCTGGGGTTAGAGTCTTTAATCAACAAACATTTATTTAGCACTTGCTATGTGCCAGGTAATTGTTTCCTGGAAAAACAGTTATAAACAAAGCCAGACCCTCCTCTCCTGGAGCCTGTGTTCTAGTGAGAAATGGCAGGTGGGTACGGAACAGGGGGACCTGAAGGAAGATTCTAGAAAGGCCTCCCTGAGAAGGTGTCATTTGAACAGAGATGGGAAGGAATTCAGAGACTATACAGTACAAGTGTTGGGGGAAGAGCATCCTAGGAAGAGGGACTAGCAAGTACAAAGACCCTGAGGCGTGTTGGCTGGCAGCAGCAGTGAATGAGGAGGAGAGAGGGCTTTGGCTGGTCCTCTCATTCAGAGGGAGGGAAGCTACAGGAGGGAGCTGAGCAGGGGTGGCCGGGCTCCTCTTGTAAGAGGAGACGACTCCGTCATGACATCGTCTTTCTGAGGCAGCAAAGATGCTGGAAAAGAGTTTTCATAGCATTGGGACACTTCATTTGTTGCAGATGTGATGACCAGCCTGCCAAGCAGCTCATGACTTGCTTCAGTCACCTGGGCAATGCAGACCACACCCTCACCCTGGGGGAGCTGGAGGCCTTTGTTGCCATGCTAGTGGAGCAGCTGGGGACCCAGGACTACAACAGGAAGACCCTGGGGACACCTGGAGAGGAGGTCAGCTGGGCCCCAGAGGTTGAGGCCTGGACCTAAAAAAAGCTCAACCCAATTCACAGACGAGGCTCAGAGTATACCAAGACTCAGAGAGCAGAAGTGATTTTCTTTAATTTTAATGGAATGAGGAATCTTACTAGAGCAAGGAGCTGTGAAGTATAGGGGTAAACATAAGCTGCATGCACAGATGGATCCAGACACTCAGACTAGATTGTTTCTACCCATCCAGCTTTATGTTGCTCTGGATGCTGGACTCACTTTCACCTCCTTGTAGGGGAAGAAGGAAAGACAGACACCTGTCTAGGTTTCTATCAGCTCTGATTAAAAACTCCAGATGGAAAGTAAGAGACCTTTCTTGTTGTTAGGAGCCATCAAGTCAGTTCTGATTCAAACTGACCCTATGCACAAGGGAACAAAACACTGCCTGGTCCTGCGGCATCTTCGCAACTGCTATGTCATTGCCCATTGCCGTGCCACTGTGTCAGTCTCTCTCGTTGGGGGGTCTTCCTCTTTTTCACTGACCCTCCACTTTACCAAGCATGACGTCCTTCTCCAGGCACTGGTCTCTCTTGATAACATGTCTGAAGTATGAAAGACAATTTCTCGCCATCATTGCTTCTAAGGAGCAATCTGGTTGCTCTTCTTTCAAGATTTGTTTGTTGTTCTTGCAGCCTGTGGTACTTTCAATATTCTTCCCCTACACCATAACTCACATGCATCAATTCTCCTCTGGTCTTCCTTATTCATTGGCCAACTTTCATAGGCAATGTGAGGCAGTTGAAAATACCATGACTTGGGTCAGGCACACTTTAGTCCTCACACTGACAACTTTGCTCTTGAACACTTTAAAAGAGGTCTTGTGCAGCATATTTGCCTAATGCATTTCATCATTTGATTTCTTCACTGGTATTTCTATGAGCATTGATTGTATATATAAGCAAAATGAAGTTTTTAACAACTCTGATATTTTCTCCATTTGTTATTATGTTTTTTATTGGTCCAGTTGTGAGGATTTTGTTTTCTTTCCACTGAGGTGCGGCCCATACTGAAGGTTATAGTCTTTGATCTTCAACAGTATTTCAAGTTCATTTCACTTTCAACAAGCAAGTTTGTTATCATCTGCATATCTCAGGTATTATTAATGAGTTTTTCTCCAATCCTGATGCTAATTCTGATGGATTTTTCGCTCAACATACAGACTGAATAAATACGGTGAAAGGATACAACTCTGACATACATCTTTCCTGATTTTAAACCACTCCCCTTGTTCTGTTCCAATTATTGTCTTTTGGTCTTTGTGTAGGTTTCTCATGAGCATAATTAAGTGCTCTGGAATACCTGTTCTTCCCAATGGTATCTATATTTTTTTTCATGGTTCACACAATCAAATGCCTTTGCATGGTTAATAAAGAACAAGTAAACTTCTTTCTGGTATTCTCTGCATTCAGCCAAGATTTATCTGATGTCAGTAATGACATCCTTAGTTCTACATTGTCTTCTTAAATTTCTGGAAGCTCCATATGGATGTATTGCTACAACCATTTTTAAATTACATTCAGAAAAAAGTTACTTACATGTGATATTAATGATATTGTTCAATTATATTTGCTTTCTGTTGGGTCACCTTTCTTTGAAATAGGGACAAGTACGGGTCTCTTCTAATTGGTTGGCCAGGTAACGGTCTTCCAAATTACTTGGCATAGATGAGTGTCTCCAGCACTACATCAGTTTGTTGAAAGATTTCAATTTGTAGTCTGTGAATTCCTGGAGCCTTGGTTTTCACCAATGCCTTAGTGCAGCTTGGGCTTCTTTCTTCCTTCATTACCATCAGTTCTTAATCATACAGTACCTTTTGAAATAACTGAACACTAGCCTGTTATTTTTGGTATACTGACTATATTCTTTCCATCTTCCTGCATCAGTCATTATTTTGCATATAGACTCCTTCAATATTGCAACACAAGGATTGATTTTTTTTTTTCTTGTAGTTATTTCAACTTGAAAAATGCTGAGTGTGTTCTCCCTTTTTGGTTTTCTAACACCAGGTCTTTATACATTTCATTGTATTTGACTTTGTGTTCTTATGGTGTCCTTTGAAATTTATTCAGCTAAGCAAAAACTGTGATAAACCATTCCTCCCACAGCCCTCTCTACTCAACTGGGTTCAATAATTCATTGCAATGGCCACAAGAACTCAGACACCATACTCATAGTTATGGGGTTTATTAGGGAAGTTAACAGGTTATAATATAGGATCAAAAAATACACAGTTGCTCTAGTCAGCTGCTGATAAATGCCCACAGGCCATGCCGCTCTCCCATAAGCCTCAGCCTAAAGGTACTCGGCTCTAGCTCCATGAATCAGCAAACTTATCTCTTTACTTGCTCCGAGGTCTGGGAAGCCCACAGCTCTGTCTAGTGCAGTGGGTCTTGGTTCAGCTACTGCTGCTCCTCTGACACTCCTCTGGTGTCACAGCTTTCTGTTCCTGTTTTGAGAAGGTTCAATGCACAGAGATCTCAAGGTACAAAGGATGTGCTGTGCTCCTGGCTCTTTCTTCTTGATAGTAGTGAGACCCCTCCACTGCTGCTTCTGAGATGTTCATTTTATACCCATTCTAGTGGTGGTTGGATGCCATGGAGTCAGTTCAGGCTCACAGCGACCCTGTACAGGGTTTCCGAGACTATAAATCTTTACAGGAGCAGAAAGCTTCCTCTTTCTCCTGACGTATGACTGGTAGACTAGAACTACTGGCCTTGCAGTTAACAGCCCAGCGCACAATCCACTATGCTATCAGGATTCCTTATGCTAGAGTTTATAATGAACTCTGTTAGCATCCACAGCTGAATTGTGTCATCCTATCAGTATCTTCTTCCACCTTCTCTTACTCAGACCCAGCAGGGCAGAACTGTTGTTTGGTGGGAGTTTCAGACATTAAATAATTCACTACACTACAAGCTCTTTTAACTTCATCATTTCTTCCACTCACTTTAGCTTCTTTACATTCAAGAGCAAGTTTCAGTCTCTACTGAAATCTATTTTGGTCTTTTCTTTCTTTCCTGTCTTTTCAATGACCTTTTGCTTTCTTCAAAAGCATATATGATGCTCTTGATGACATCCTACAACTTGTTGGTCTTTGGTCATTAGTTCCTGATGCATCAAACCTGTTCTTGCGATGGTTTCTAAATTCAGGTGGGATATACTTAAGATCATACTTTGGCTCCCATGGACTTGTTTTAATTTTCTTCAGCTTCAGCCAGAATCTGCACAGAAACAACTGGTGGTCTGTCCCACGGCTGGCCCCTGGCCTTGTTTGGCTTAATGATAATTGAGCGCCTCCATCATCTCTTCACACAGATGCAGTCAATTTGATTCCTGTGTATTTCATCTGGTAAGGTTCACGTGTGTAGTTGCTGTTTATGCTGTGTAAAAAGGTATCTGCGATGAATAAGTCATTGGTCTTGAAAAATTCTGTCATGTAGTCAGTCTCCAATGCCGTTTCACTCACAAAGGTCACATTTTCAACTACGCATCCTTCCTCTTTGTTTCCAAGTTTTACTTTCCAATCACCATAATTATCAATGCATCTTGATTACATGTTTGGTTACTTTCAGACTGAAAAAGTTGGTCTTTAATTTCATCATCACTGGCTGTAGCATTGTACTTCAAGATAGATCTTGAACTGTTCTTTTTGGCAACAAGTGTGATGCCATTGCCAGCATAGTAAATCAGATGATTGTCTGGTTCAAATGACAAATACCTGTCCATTTCAGCTCACTAATGCCTAGGATATTGATCTTTATGCTTTCTATTTCAATTTTGACAACTTCCAAGGAACTCTGGTAGCGTAGCGGTTACGAATCGGGCTGCTATTGTCACGGTCAGTAGTTCAAAACTACCAGCTGTTCCGCAGGAGAAAGATGAAGCTTCCTGCTCCCATAAAGATTTACAGCCTCGGAAACCCTACCCAGGGTCGCTATGAGTCACAACCGACACCACGGCACATAACGACAGCAACAACAATTTTGCTAGATTGATACTTTGTAACCTCCCAATTGTTAATGGATATATGGAATTGTTTCTTCTTTTTGCAATTCTGAGTTCTGCCCTATCAGCAAATGAAGGTCCCAAAAGCTTTGCTCCATCCACATCATTACGGTCAACTCTACTTTAAGGAGGCAGCTCTTCTGCAGTTATATTTTGAGTGCCTTCCAACCTGAAAGGCTCATCTTCCAGAACTGAATCAGACAATGTATCACTGCTATTCTTAAGATTTTCTGTTGCTAACCATTCAAAAGTGGTCTGCCTCTCCTACTTTCCACTCTTAGTCTGGAAGCTCTGCTGAAACCTGTCCACCAAAATACCGGCGGCATAGCTTCCAGCATCCCAGCACCACACCAGCTACAACAGGATGACAAACTGACTCCTAGTACACTAACTCTCAGGTAGGACTTCAGTTGGCCCAGCCTCAGTTATGTGCTTGTCTCTGGGCTAATCCCTTGCTCATGGGTAGCTTCTGTGATTATCATTTCCACCACAGTCAGAGAAAGGAGAGCACAGGTAGTTCCCCAGAGGAACAAGAGTTCCACTTCAAGTCCAAGTTGCGGGGGAAGGCTAGGCAAGCAGCTTGAATAGATGGCCCTGACTGAGCAGCGTCTGGATTTCAATGAAATCACTTTTAGCATGTTTTCAGTCTACCTACTTCTCTATTCATAGTAACCAAATGGGATGCTATTAAAAATTATGGTTCCAAGAAACCCTAGCCTGCTGCAGTTTTGATCTAAGATAGTAGTATATTTGGATACCTGAAATTCTGAATCCATCCTGTTTTTTAGATATCTGTGTTCTGACACAGTCATCTCTCCTTTAATAACAAAACACCACCAGCTAACACACACAGCACAGTAAGTGTGCAAGGTTCTGGACAGGCTTTGTCTTGTGCTGTCCTCAAAGAGCCGGAGAGAAAAGCTAGGTGGGCTGGGCTCACAGCTAAACCTTAACCACCTCACTGAGCCACCTCAAACCTGCTCTTTCTTTCTAGAGATCATTTAGGTGGGCCATTGGAGTGTGCTAGGGTAAACAAAAGACCCCAGTTTCAAATGTTTTATAAAGACCTTCTATTAAGCCTTCAACATGATAAAGACCAAACAAAAATGATTATCCCGGCTTAGCATGTACCCAGCACAGGGGGGTGATGAAGCCCCCATTGAATCACAACAGAGAACTAAGGAAATCATCACAAGATCATGGGTGGTGGCAGGTCCATCCATCACTGTCACTGATGGGGCTACAGAAGTGGAACACAAGACCATGACTGGGATACATATAGTACTGCCGATTTTAAAAGGTCACAGGATTGGTTCTGGGACTTCAGTCATCTAACTTTGAGGCCTAGTCACCAAGACCCCAAGTTTTAAATTAGATAACATGTGTCTGATTGACTACTCTTGGTAAAGGCCCAGGCAAGTTCCCTAGTTCTTGGAGCACTTTCTACATACTAATTAATCTACTTTCAGCCATCTCTTCCTGAAGGCAGACTGCCCTCCTTGGCCTTGCCTATACTTGTTTAAGCAGAGCCACATTGCTGGTTTAATGGTCAGCAAGCACTGGGGAAGTAACAAAGGAGCCAAATGGGATCTGAACTGTAGTCAAGACTCAACATGGAGTTACGGCTCCTGCTGTATATGACAGCCTTCCACAAACTAAGTGTTTGAATTTAAATGCTAATGCAGGGGATAGAGAGAGGGGTCTGCTTAGGTTCCAGCCTCTCAGTATATGAAAGAAAACAGTCCCTTGATCATTTCTATAAATTGGACAAAGGTCAAGATCATGCACATATTTTGTTGAGTTCTATAAAAGGAAATGAGGGATTGTTGGAAAGATGGCAGATGAGACAGGCAGACTACTCTGCAACAGACACAAGAGACCTAATGAAACAGACACAGATGATAATCCTGGAACCCTGAACCTCAGAGGAAGAGATGGAGAAGTGAATAAAATACTGCCTGGGAGAAGCTGCTGAACAAAAGTGGTGAGCGAGGAGACAGCTGGAATGGGTGAATCAACACAGTGTGGCCCTTTTGAACTTGTGCAAGCAGTGTTAATCTGGGCAGCACCTATTAATGGGCTCTGCTTGTCCAAGACCATACCAGTGGCTGGTGACCAACAAGGCGGTTTCCCCTTGTTTTTCACACCCTCATGATGACCAGAGTTGAGCTAGACCCTGCCCTCACCCACCTGGCAGCCAGTGACACACACACCACCTGCAAAACCCAACCTGAGGTCAGAGGCATGCCCTGTGGATCGGGGGTGCAGGCTGCACGTACCCCTGCCCCTACATTTGGAGGCATGTATGTGCTCTAGCTTTCTCACTTTAGCAGAATATGCTATGTCAGATAGGCTCCCTGACCCCAGCCACCTCGGGTGAGAGGGTAGGAGCTCATCTGGTACCTGATGCCCTTATCCCACTTGCCCTCTGAGCTGAAGGAACTTGTTCTGGTAGCAGGCATTCTGCCCTCAGCTGCCCTCTGAACCCACAGGAACTCCTAGAACCAGGCGCTATACCCCAAAACTGTCCTCTGGGCTCATGGGAACTCCATTCAAGAAAGGCAGCTCCTGCTTCCTTTTCCATCCATGTGACCTCCTTGGCCAGTAAAGGGTGCCAACTTATACCAGGTACCCTGCCTCCAGTCACCTCCTCAGCAAACAGGTCCACCACCCCCAATTTTCTCCATTTATTTTTTCCTTTTCTTTCTCTTCCCTTCTTTTAGGCCCTGCTCGCCTCCCCACCCACCCACCCACCCCCCACATACCTTCTGGTTTCTTTTTTTCTTTCTTTTTCTGTTTCTCTTTCCTTTTTTCCAATACTTTCTTCCTTTTTTAAAGTATTATTTTTTCCCTCTCCCTGGTTTTGTGGGTGAGTGTCTGCTCTGAAACTACACTGTGTTGGATAAATATGAACAACTTTCCTTAGAAGCCCTGGAGACAGGCCATGTTTATGCTAGTAAGTACATGGTGAAAAGGCTTTCCCATCCAACTGTGGCCCCATCCCTTCCATGTCATCTGTATTAATAAGATGTTGTCCTGTGCTGGGGCTCTATACAGGTATGGGAGGTGCCTTGGAAAACCCCAGGATACTGTGTTCATGTCATCATGTCCATCTGCACTAAGCTTCAAACAAGGACCATATGACTGAGGCCCTACGCAGGAGACAGTCCTAATTTCCTTGGGTGCCAGAAGATCCACATTTCCAAGAAGTGGGACTTTGCCAAGTTTAATGCTGATGAGTTTGAAAACATGGTGGCTTAGAAACGCCGCCTACCAGAGGGCTGTGAAGTCAAATATGCCCCTAGCTGTGGTCTCTAAGACAAATGTCAGGACCTGCATTCATGAAGGGTTTGGTAGTACTGTCCCACCTGGTTGTGACCACCAGTAAATGTCTTGTCTCAAAACAAACAAACAAACAAAAAACCAAGAGAAAGAGACAATAATAAGAAAAAACAGGTAAGGGGGAAACAAACAAGAAAATAAAGGAACAAAATTATTTAAAAAAATAAACCCCACAAAACCAGGGAGAGGGAAAAAAGAATACTTAAAAAAGTATTTTTCACTGCAGGTCAAAGATGCAAATCTTGGCATCAAGGACATGTCAGCAGAAGTGGGACTTGGGACAGGGCTTGTTCTCACAATACTGGTAACACTGAGTGGAGGGGCAGTCACCATAGTGACATAAGGATCTTTGTGGTACACTGAAGGAAAAGAGCTATTTTCTTTCTTTCTTCTTTTGCTATTGTTATTTTCTTCCACCCACTGGAAGACAGCTGTCTTACCCACTCTGCTCAGCTACACCCACACTTCTGCCTCCTGAAATCCCATCCACTGAGAAAGCTCTCTCACCCACTTTTATACCACCTAACCAACACCAAGCCAACCCTCCCTCAGCTTTGCTAGTTGAACAGTGAACAGAAAACTGTGCAAACTCCCAACCTCTGTCCCCCTCAGAAGACAGATGAGGAGCATATAAGAAACCAACAACATATTATCACCAATTAAGTACAAATACATTAACATCAAAACGGCTCTGTTTACACCAACAAACAAGAGGGTATTTCAAACAAGTGACCAAAACGCAAAGCCAGAAAACCTTTTTGAGCAAGAAATGGATTTAGAACTACCTGATAAGGAGTTTAAAAGAATGATATTCAGGTACCTTCAATGCACTGAAAAAAACATATTTAGGTACCTCCAATGAACTGAAAACAAAAATCAAGGAAAATACAGGCAAAACTGTAGAAGAATTCAGAAAACTGACTAAATAAATGAAATCATACAAAAACAGTAAATAGAAATACAGAAGACTAACACTAAAATTTGAGAAATAATACACTGAAAGGGCAAAAGGGTAAAACTGAATCAATAGAATACAGAATTAGTGAGCTTAAAGACAAATCTCTTAACACTAATCTGCTAGAGGAACAATCAGGACAAACAACAAAGGAAAAAAAAGAAATAAAGCCTAAGAATTATATGGGACACCATCAAGAGGAATAACTTACAAGTGATTGGAATTCCAGGATAGGAAGAGGCAAAAAAAAAAAAAAAAAGAGAAAATTTATTAGAAGAAAACTTCCCTAATATCATGAAAGACGAGAAGATATGCATTCAAGAATCTCAAGGAACCCCAAACAGGATAAACCCCAAACAAGAATCACCTATACGTATCATAATCAAACTTTCCAAGTGCAGGACTGCCCAACCCCTTGCACACATCCTTGCAGGTTGACATTTGGCATTGTGTGACATCCTCTCCTGGCAGTAGATACCCTGGTACATGTCAAGGTGACAGTGACTTGGAGTAAGAGACTTGAGAAGTTACTATATGTACAGTCTATCCAATCCCATAGCCACCCCATTCCTGAGGTCATCCAGCTACCCACTAGCCTGCCAATAGACACCTGCCGTGTAAGCTAGCCTGACTGGTTCCAAGGGTGTCAATCACATTAGTTTTAAAGAACAGATAGGAAAACAGATTGATAAGAGAGGGAAGAATAGACTCCTTGGACTTGGAAACAAAATACGCACATTTGTACATCAGCCTGATTTGCGGTTCAGCCTTAGACTGGGTAACTCAGCCCCTCTGAACCTCAGTGCCTTCCTTGAGGGGACAGTGGTAGTTTCATCTGTTCCAGTCATCTAGCAGGAAACCAGGTGAGATGGCCACTGGGAAAGGGGTAAGAGGAGGTGGAGACAGGCTACCGGCCTTCCATGGGGCTGGGGTCATGACTACTAGGGAGAGGAGCTGCGAGCACTAAGGCTGTTGGTCCCTGCAGGCCGAACTGCAGCAGAAGGTGGAGGAGAATGAGCACCTGAGGCTGGAGCTGCAGATGGTGGAGACAGAGCGTGTGCGCCTCTCCCTGTTGGAGGAGAAGCTGGGGGATGTGCTGCAGCTCCTGCAGAGGCTCCGGGCCCTGGTAGGTTCACAGGGGTGGGGCTGGAGCCCTGGGCAGGGGACACTTGCCCAAAGCTGTGGGCTCTCCTCACAGTAGGCAGGTGTTACCTCCTTTATACAGTTGCAGAAGTGGAGGCTCAGAATAACTTGCAAAATACAAGTAGTTGCAAAGATTCAATGAGTTAATGTATGTAAAGTGTTCTCTAACTTGTCTTCCAAGTGCCAAGATGGGGATTGATGCCTATGTGAGGTTTGCAGGAATAATGGATCCTGCACACTCTCCAGCCACCACCAAGGATCTCTAAGGAGGCCAAGCAAGCAGTCTGGGGATCAGGAAGGGACATGGGGAGAGGGATCTTACTGCCCCAGGGCTGAAGGTGAATGAGAACAGGGCAGCTTTATCTGACCCAGCTGTCCTTGTTTCTTTTGAAGAATATATCGAAAAGAGCCGTGGGGAAGATTTTACTGAGCTCGCTGGACGCTTGCAGGGACCCCACACACGGTAGGAAAGCCCCAGTCTTTCTGCACTGAAGGCAACCTGATGATGCACAAACCCAGCCTCAGCCCAAACCCAGCACTCTGTCCTGAGTGTCCATTCACCAAAATGGCACTGTCTTCCCTGGCCTATAGACTTCTCCGGGCATCATTTGGAACGTTATAAGTGCTATTCAACAAAACTCCCAAGTAGAAGCCAGCGCAGCCAAGCTCGGCCAGAGTGGCAGGCTCACCCTGCCGGCAGTGCAGACTTGCCTGTTCCCTGGACTTACTGCATGGCAGCACTGAGTATCCCAGTTCCCCAGTTGCTGTCAAGTTGCCCAATCAGATGGCTCCAAGTATGTCACAGTAGAACTGTGCTCTATAGAGTTCAGTGGGCAAGTTCTCAGAAGTACATCACCAGACCTTTCTTCTGAGGAGCCTCTGGGTGAACTTGAACCCCTCACCTTTCAGTCAGCACCTGAATGCATTCATCATTTGCACCACCCAGTGACTCCAGATGGTGGGTGAGTGCTTTACATAGTTTTAACTCACTGAGTTCTTACAGCAAAGTCATCACCTCATTCCAGAGATAGAAGACTGAGGCACGGACATGACATCGGGTTCTCACCAGAGCATCTTGGTTAAGCACTAGGCTATCTGGCCTCCATGTTTACACAGAGTTCAGGGCAGCAGAGGTCCATCAGTGCCTGCCTGTGCCCCATGAAACCAAGATGAGCAAGGCCAAGCTCCTGCCTCTAGGGGGCCCCAGGGCTGATGAGCTGGTTTGGCAGTGGTGGAACCCTTGCCCACTGGACCTCACCAGATACCTCGGGGCAGGAATGAGGGAGGGCCCTACTCATAAATAGGAGATCAAGAAGATCCCCTCCTGGGTCCTCAATGGGCAAGGGGCAGAGGGTTAAGTAGAAGCAGGGGCCTGGGCCTCAGAGTTAGCTGGGCAGAGCTGGGAAGGCACGAGACATACCAGTGGGAGCATGGCTTTGTGGGCTGGAGTGAGCTGTGCTGGGCCCTGCAGGCTCACCCTGTGCCTCCTTGCTCTTTCCTTGCAGAGGGCAGAACTAGGTCCTTGGCCGTACTAGATGCCCTGCACCAAGCCCTAGCCAGCTGCAAACTCTTACGAAGACAGCCCTTGTCTCCGGCCTCCACAGCTCCTGCCCTCACCGATTCCCTTCTCATCTCATGCTGAGACCACCTGGTCAGCCTGGCCACTACCAGAGCAGTACCAGCCAGACTGACATCATCAAACTAGCCTTCTCCATCAGTCCAACCACCATCCAACCCCACAGGGCATCTTCACTGCCATACAACCCTTGAGTTGGTCAAACTGCCCCTGCAACCAGCTTGATAAGATCTGTGCCACTAGGGGTTCCTCACCGTGATCGTGGAACCCTGGAGGCTCGGGCTCCTTCCAAGTCTGACCTGAGCCCAGCACCTCCCACTGCAGACACAGGACTCCTGCCAGATTCCCTGGCCACCCCTGTGTTCCTGGTGCCAGAGTCCACAGTAAAGGTGGCAGTTGTTGGATCAACCTGCACCTGCTGCTGTTTCCCCAGTCCTTGGAACAGAGACACCCACTGTCCTGCCCAGCCCAGCCCCACATCCCTTCCCTGGAGTCCTAGGAGCTCCTCCTTTCCAACACTGCCCTTCCTCCCACCAGCGTGCCTGCTGCTCCCAATTTGAAAGACTAGACCCAACCTTCAGTACACATCTGGTCCCTTTGGGGGAAACTCCCAGTCCCCAGGAAATGCTGAAAGTGTGATTACAGTGGGTTTCCTGGTGGATGCTCTAAAAGAGAGATGTGGCGTAGATAGACAAAGAGGAGGGACTAAAATGGGCCCCATTAATAACGGCACCTGGAGCCCCTCTCTCCTCAACATGTACTGAATGCTGGGCCTCTCCCAGGAGAGAAAAGCCACTGGCCCACACTGTAAGGTAGTGTGGATAGTGTCAGGGTCAATGGAGGAGAAGGAAACTGCTAACAGGAGTCTAACCCAGAATGGTCCGTGTGGGCAGGAGGGTGGGTACACTGTGTGTAAGGAGGGAGGACACAGGGAAGCAGGCTGGTCTGTTCTGAATGGTGGCAGGAAGCAGAAAGATCAAATGGGGCCCCCAGTGACAGAACTGGGACCTGGGACCTTGCCCCCATGGTAGTAGGGAGCCATGAAAGGTTTCCAGTAGAATGAGATTGCCATGCGGGGGGTGGACTAAAGGCAAAGAACCAGTAAAGAAGATGTTGCTGCAGGAATGGAGGGCCACAGATCTCCCCAGGGACAATGAGTACAGCCAGGGAGTCTAGTCTGAGCCAAGCACAGAGCCTGAGCCCTCCAGCCAACTCCTCTAGCTCTGCGGGTGAGAACTGCCCACCCCAGGGGCCACCACCTGTGTACTCCCACAGCAGGCTGATGTGGGTCAATTGTTGGTGCTGCCTTAGCTGCAGACAGGACTCCAACTCACGGTAACCCAAGTCACCTTCACAATCACCAGACCAGCATGGTGCCTGCCATTCCAGCTCCACAAAGTTCTCCTTTGCCCCTGCTGGTCCTCTACTTTACTATCCTCCATCAGTTGATCCCTTCTGTGGATATATCCAAAGCAAGCAAGTTGGACAAAGTTTTGATGTGATCCACAGATTTTCATGATCTAAATATTAGAAGTTGATCACCAGGCCTTTCTTCCTAGTCTGTCTTAGTCTGCATGCTCTGCTGAAACCTGTCTACCCTGGGAGACCCTGCTGGTTATTGAAATAATGGTGGCATAGCTTCCAGCATCACAGCATCACATAAGACAAGACAGTACAACATACTGACGATGGTGGACATGAATCTAAACGTGTTAAAATTTATATAAACTAGAAATCGACTTCCAAAAAAGTCAATTTTACTCTGTTAATTTACAAAAATATAATAATAAATGGAGTTGAAAGGCATTCATGAAACTCCCCAGTTCCCCTACTGGAATCTCCAGACAGCAGACAGAGAAGCCATGAGGTTCTTGTAGATTACAGCTGCATTAGACTTCAGCCTCACCAAGCTTTGTAAGAGAACCCCTCGGCTACCCAGCAATCAACTGTTTACCAGCCATTGGCATGCCTCGCGTCTTATCAAGGTAAGTTTATGAGGTGGAGCAGGATCTTGTGCTCAGAAGGGTTAGGTGAGCTACCAAGCATCACACAGCAAATAAGTTGTCTGAGCATGGAGTGGGGCCCCCTGTCTTGAGCCCAATTCACACATACACTGAGTCCTTGACAAGTGCCTCTGGCTAGGAAAATCTGGGTTTGCTAAGGGTTTGGAATGTGGGATCCAGATTAGTTATAGTACAGGCTAAGACCCCCTTAATAAACATCTCTCCCAAAAAACCCACTGTCATTGAGTTGAATCTGACTCAGTGAACCCAAGTATAACTGCTCCTTACGGTTTCCAGTTCTGTAAATCTCTATGGGAGCTCAAATCCTCCTATTTCTTCCATAGAGTGGCTAGCACTTAGTAGCTCAGCACCTCACCCACTCTGCCACAGGGCTGTTTTCGCCTTAGTAAGGACACCCCAATAAGGAGACTCCAAAATACTACAGGAGCGAGACGTTTATTTCTCTCTCCTGCACCAGGTACTGAATAGTACTGGTTGGCAGAGCAACTGTGTTCCACGTGGTCCGAGGGGGATCCAAATTCCTTCTGTTTGTTGCTCGCATTCCCTAGGGGTCATCCACCTTCACATGGTGGGAGCCACTTGACCAGCCAGCTCCGTGATAAGCAGCAGGGCCACCAAGAGGTGTCCAGCTACAATGACAATACGTACCTGTGGATTTTGTTGAGACAAAATATTACTTTGATGACTTATGACAAGTTTAAAGCAGCCTGTGAGATGTGGAGGTGTTTAACATTTCCATTTTATAGATGGAGGAAACTGAGGCTCGGAGAGGTGAAGGTTGTAGTACCTGGGAATGGCTCTGGATACCCCCAATTTTTTTTTCCCTAGGAAAATGTTTTGTGAGTTTCTTTCCGTACCAAGGATCCTCATCATGGGCCCCGTGAGGTTCTGAGACAGACTCAACCCAAGCGCTAGCTAAGCTGAACCCACTACCATTCACTTCCCACCACTGAGGAAGAACTTTCACTGACTGACCACTCTGCGTCCTCACCACGGCCCCAGGCGGTAGGCAAGACTGTACTCATTGTACAGAGAAGGGAGCCAAAGCCAGAGCACTGCAGACCCTTTCCCAATGTCAAAGAGTAGCACATGCGTAGTGGGAGCTGCATCCTAGGATATCAAGGCTTGTGCCCTGTAAATGCCCTATACATGTATGTCCAGGAACACCTGAACACAGTAGTAAACACTGGGATAGTGGTGGCTAGCTTATGCTGTAGTTAACAACAAAAATTGGCTGTCTCACTAGCTTTATACAAGGGGAGTATTCTCACTCACACTTCACCTCCAACACAAGTGGCTCAGGGAGCTCAGACTATGGCTGTCACTCAAGAACCGAGACTGGCTTCCCCCACTACCAAAGCAGGAGAGAGGGAGGAGAACTGTACGCTTGCTCTTACCGTCTCTCAAAGTGACATAACTTCCACTCACATCTCATTGGCCAAAGTCAAGCATATAGTCTTGCCTAACTTCATGGAATGGGGGAGGGGCCAGCTACATAATTTGGGGGGCCCAGTGTAAAATAAAAATGTACTCCTTACTCAAAAAGCAAGAGAGAAGTGTCATTAGAGGCACATATAAGCCTTTGTTCTTTCCTGGGAGGTAAGGGAGGAGGGGCAACTGAGAAACACCTGGGGGGCCAGGGGAGGAGAATGAGGCAGGGAGGTGACAGGAGGTGGCACTGTGTCCAAGTCAAGGCACCCAGCCCCAGCACTTAAAACCACACATTCAGAGATGAATGTATCATGAATTTTAAGACAGCCATCATCAAGCATTATACCCCAAGAGCAGGCCTTCCTTGTGCAGAGCCCTGTGCAGCCATACCTGCCACATACCCATGAAGTGGGCCTGGGTCTGTCTGGGTGGGAGATGGAATCCTACCATGTATTTCAGGAAAAGTGGAGAATTGAGATATCTGTCAACAGTCTTTATCACTACCACTTGTTTACCTTTTTCCTGTTGTTGTTAAGTGCCTTCAAACTGGTTCCAACTAATAGGGACCCTAGGAGTGGCTGGTGAGTTTGAACCACCGATGTTTAGGTTAGCAGTCCAGTGCTTATCCTACAGTGTCACACCAGGGCTCCCTTTTTCTTAGATGAATTCATATTGTCTTATTAAAATGTTTCCTGCATTTCTGCACTATATTAAAAATGCTTTCTGAAAAATTCCAACTAATATCCTCTCCCTTCTCACTTTCTGGTGACCTGCAAACTGCACTCTCCACTGCCCCCAACCACCACCAAAGAAATCCGGTAATTTCCCCGTACTTCACCACTAGGTGGCAAACGTTTACTGACTAGAGGAATGAATGGGTAAAGTTCCCTGTCATCTCAAAAGGCTGAGGTCGGGAAATCCCAAACTGATTTCATTTGAACGTTAACTCCTTGGATATTTGCCTTTATCTGTCCACCACCTATGCAACTTTATACTTAATATTTTTCTTAGGATCTGCTCCCTTATAAAAGATACGTGAATGTATTTTTAAAGGAAACATTTTTTTTTTTTTACTTTTAAAAGTTCAGTTTATTATCGTGTTGAGTAGATTCACACCTATTGCACCTATTGTTCTGCTGACAGAAGGTCAAAATTTAAGACAGATACCTTTTTCCAACATTTTCAAAATCTTTAAGATGTTACAATTACACAGGCAAAAATATGTACCACGTTCCCATACCATACCCTTCACTTCCTGCTGTTACAAATGAGAATGTGTTTCTCATGGGTGAAATTGAACTTCTGAGTGAAATTTGATGAGTTTCCCTTCTATTGTCTTCTTTACCCCAAACATGTAGAACACTTGCCATCACACTCCAACCCCACATGTAACCAGGAAGATGAACTTTAATCAAAGTCAGAGCAAGCACTACCTGTCTCCTTACAGAACCCCATGTAGTTTTTATCTTCTAATTTAACTGGCAAACCTGTCTTGGCTGTCCTACACACAAGGTAACTTAACAATTGTTAAGTACCATCAAGTCGGTTCCGACCCATAGCGACCCTGTATAGAGTTTCCGAGGAGCAGCTGATGAGCTTGAAGCGCCAACC